TTAATTAATTAATTAATTAATTAATTAATTTTTTGTTGCAGCACCTGGGCGCACTGCTGCAGCAGCAGCACAGCAGAGTCGTAATCTGCTTCCTTGCCAAACAGCTGCCCCAAAAAGCCGGGGGGCTTCATTAGCTGCTCCGCCTGCCGCAGCAAAGAAGGAACTTCCGACAAGTCCGCAGACCCTGCCATCTTCTGCTGCTGCTGCTGCTGCTGCTGCTGCTGCTGAGGGGGCTGCTGCGGGGGTGGTGCTGCTCCGCCGGCTGCTGCTGCCGCTGCTTTCGCTGAAAATGAAGCCGTCGCTACTGCCCTGCTGCTGCTGCTGCTCCTGCTGCTGCTCTTCGGAATTGTCTTGATAGTGTCCGCCTTAGTTACGAGTGCAGCAAGTCCCCAAAGGCTGCTGCTGCTGCTGCTGCCTATGCTGCTGCTGCTGTACGTTCAGCTGCTCTGCGGTGCGCTCTGTCTCTGCTGCCGCTGCTGCTGCTGCTGTTGCTGCAACTGCTGCAGACGTGTCTACCCACCTCAGGCGCACGGCTGCTGCTGCTGCTCTGTGGGGCTGCTGCAGCAGCAGCTCTACAACGGCGCGTGTCGCTGCTGCTGCTGCTGCTGTACCTTGTGCGGTCGCTGCTGCTGCTGCTGTATCTGTTGCTGCAACTGCTGCGACCTCGCCAGTCAACCTGTTCTTGCTGCTGCTGCTGCGGTCTCGTGCTGCCTGCTGCAGCAGCTGCTGCTGCTGCGGTACCCGTACGCCTGAGCTGCTGCCGCAGCAAAGCCCGTTTGCTGCTGCAGTGTCTTCTTTGTTTTAAATCGACTTATATCCATAAAATAAACGGAGTCTTCCCGTGCGATTTGCTTTAATAACAAGGAAATGGATTTAGCAGCGCAGCAGCAGCAGCAGCAGCAGCAGCAGCATGCAGCAAGGCAACCGAGGGCCCCGAGAGAGCCTGAGGAAGATGCCTGGCTTGTTTTGGTCCGTTTTGTTTCAAATAAAGGCAAAAATAAATAAAATTGAATAATTAATTTATAATTATAATTAAATTGGAATTAATTTTGTGCATTTACTTCTTTTCCGGGGATCAGCCCCCCAGAACGAGCTAGCGCCGCCGCCGCAGCTGCAGCATGCATCTAGATAGGCAGCTCTCCACCGCCGTTTTCGCGTTTGTCTCCGCTGCACCTCCAAAATAAATAAATTTAATTAAAATAAATTTAAAAATTGGAAATTTTCGACTTTTTTGCTGCCAGAAGAGCTTTTCTGGAGCTGCGTTCTCGCCGGAGCTCTGCCGGCGTCGGGCGAGCAAGGAGGAGAGGAAAGACGCGAAAAAGAAAGCAAAAGGAAAAAGAAATTAATTCAAAAAGACTTAAATAATAAAACTCCGGAAGAACGCAGTTAGAAAACTTCCAAAACGCAAGAATATAAAGGTGAAAAGACCCAAACTCAGATCGCTCGAGCCGCCGGTGTTAGGGTGTACAGACACCTGGACAATCCGCAGCACTCTTCGACGAAGCTGAAGAAACAACAGAAGAGAAACTGAAGAGTAAAAAAGGAAATAAAAATAAAAGTATAAATATAAATTATAAATATAAATATAAATATAAATGTAAATCTAAATATAAATATTAAGGCTTCGAAGCTAAGGAAAAAAAAGCTAAACAAACGACTTAGAAGGTGACATCCACAATTCAGTTAAATGAATTTAATTTAATTGAACTTTAAAAGTTCATTTAGCTGCAATCTCTCTCCCTTCACAACCACAGCAACAGCAGCAACAGCAGCAGCAACAGCGGCAGCGACAGCAGCAGCAACAGCAGCTTTGTTTGTAGCACCACCCGCAGCGCCAGCGCTACGAGTAAAACGGGCTCCTGCTGCAGCAGCGGTGGCAGCAGCAGCACAAGGAGCAGCAGCATCAGCACAAGTGGCAGCACCAGTAGCAGTTGCACCAGCAGGAGCAGCAGGAGCAGCAGCAACAGCAACAGCAGCAGCAGCAGCAGCAGCAAGAGGAGAATCCGGAGTGCTGCTTCTTCTTTTTTCTTTTCAGAGAATTTTAAATCAGACACCAGCCGCAGAGAGAGAAGTTTGCAGCAGCTGACAAAGAGCCCTTGAGCAGCAAAAAAAAGAATAAGAACCAGAAACAAAGGCAGCAGCAGCAGCAGCAGCAGCGGCAGCAGCAGCAGCGTCACCGGCACCAGCAGCAGCGGTAGAAGCAGCAGTGGCAGTATAAGCACCAGCGTCATCATCATCATCATCAGCAGCAGCAGCAGCAGCAGCAGCAGCAGCAGCAGCCCCAGCAACAGCAGCAGCAGCAGCAGAGAATAGTGACTAAAGAGGCACGAGAGAAGCAGCAGCTCCAGCAGCAGCAGTAAAGCGGAAAAAGCAAAAAGGAAATTTAAAAAAAAACGAAAAGGAATTTGGAAAATAAAAAACAAAGTAAAAGATTAAAAAGAAGGAAATTATAGGCAGCAGCAAATAAGGACAGAAATGAAATCCCCAGAGGCAGGAGCAGCAGCAGCAACAGCAGCAGCAGCAGCAGCAAGGAAGCCTTTAGTTGCGAAAGTACGAAGCAAAAGAAGTTAAATTTGTCTTGAAAGGAAATAGAAATAAATTTAAAAAATAAAATTAAAAATATTTCTTGAAGAGAAATTATAAATAGTTTTAGTGCTGCTGCTGCTGCTGCTGCAGTTCTCTTCTCCAGAGATGTAATCCTTGACACTTTCCTTCTACTAAAACTTGCTGCTGCTGCTGCTGCTGCTGCTGCTGC